TACAATAGCGACGATTATTATTTTAAAAAATTTTTGTTAGGCTTAACATCGATGAAAATTCAACGCAAAATAGGTTAATAGCGATATACTAATATACTAATTACATGGGATATAATAATATACTACACTAATAATGGATTTTTTCATACTTTTCGGTTATCCGACTTTTCAATTATCCGACCAACCCCAGTCCCCAATTAGGGCGGATAATCAAGGTTCTACTGTAAATCTTTTTTAATGTTTATTTATTGTATATGTATACTCTGATTGTATGCTTAGATTTTGAAACAATTTAAATGTTTTAACTGCTGTATTTTATGGTATGTAAGATGCACTCCTATTTCAGCATAAAATATTTAGGAAAAAGGTATTTAGTGTATTTTTGCTGCTGCATAATAAGATAACTGTGGCAAGGTTTGACATAAATAGCTAGGAACTGGTATAAGTGTTGATAAAAGATTACTGCTTAACTTTGAAGAGTTGGATGTGTGGTGAATAATCAATTGATAACAGCTTCACATTATCTAACTAATATTTACAATAATTTCGCTCTAAATAGTAATAATTAGTAATAAAAAAAGTAGGTTTAATTAAAACAATAACGTTTTTGTTAGAGAGTTGGCTAAGTAGAGATTACACTGTAGCCTACTGAAAATTGTTTGGGGAATTCGTTAACCTATAGGAAATCACAGCTTTATATATAAGATACAGAGTGCTTTTATACTGTATATATAAGTTGCATCTTATATGTTGTAAAATATGGTAATATCATTATTATTTTCCTAGAACCTTTTCTATTTTGATAAGGCTGTACCTATAATAATCTAAAATAAAAAGTTTGTAAATTAGTTACTTTTTATTATTTTATTACTGGAGAAGTTTTAGATTAAAGATCTAACTATTTCAGGTGTCAACTTTAATAGCAAACCAAGAGGATTTGCTAAAAAGTAAGTTAAAATTTATGATTTATATATTATGTTTTTCTTTTTTTTTGGAAAAAAAAGAGTATATTTATATACATATAATAATTTTCTAATTATAAAATTATAAAAAAAAAGAGAATAATAAATAAATGTATATATATATATAAAACCACTTGGGGGAAAAAATGTTTTCGTGCTGCAAATGAGTTATTTTTTAAAATCAAAATACTGGTAGCTTATTATAATAATGTTTGAATTACTTCTAATATGATGATGATGATAAATGCTTCAATTCACTGTATCAAGTTGTAAAGATAAAAATTTTGAAGAAAAAACTTTCTTGACAACTCAACAATGATTACAGTTCAGTCTTGTAGGTAACTATCATCAATATCAATTACATCTTGCTGTCTTTGCTACAAAGTTTGTTCTTTGAGTATATAATGACCAGGGCTTTTTTTTTGAAGTCTTAATCACTGGCTAATGTCATTGAACTGTATATTGGCAATATAGTTCTGCAGGGTGCAAAATAGATAGTAGTCAATTTGCACTAAATCTATGCTGTAAAGTGGATGAGACAGAACCTCCCAGCCCAGAGTGGCCAGCTTCTCTAAGGTTATCTTTGCTCTGTGCTGGCATGTTGTTATTGTGGCATTCAACTTTGTCAGTTTTTGGAGTGTATGGGAATGCTCTAGTTGTTGTTTTAACTTTCTGTTGGTCAACTGTGGATTTATCATCTATCAGTTAGTTTGAGGAGATCATCATCATCAATGGTGGAATTGCTGTCTGGATGGTATTCATCTTGAAGCAAAATATTTCCATCTTTGAATTTCTTGAACCAATTGTAGCAGGTTTGTCTGTTGACTGTGTCTTACCTACCCAAATGTCTTGCAGATGAGATCATGTGCCTTCATTGCATTGTGACTATTTTTGAAGTGATAGAACAACATGTGAATGTATTCTTTTGAAAATTTCATATTGTCAGATGATAAGTTTGATGTACATTCCACAGAATTGTCACATGTGTCAGGTCTATTTATGTAATTGTAAGCTTAAGAATGTGGGGGTGAAATTTTCCCACCTAAAGAGGGAGAAATTGTGCGCTTCCCTGTGGTGTATCGGGTCAGTGCTGACTAGTGTGTGTAGCTGTGTGGCTGGTAAGGAACCAATGTTGTGCTTATTAATTAATTGTCAGGTGCCAGTGTGTTGCTTGTTTGTGAGGAAATAAATTTCAAATATTTTTTTGTTGTGTTATAAAGAATNTTTTTTTAATGTATTACTTGGCTTTAATTTGAGTATGTTTTTCGCGTTGGAACGAATTATTTGGTTTTACATGTAATCGTATGGGAAAAGATGATCCACCTTACGACATTTTCATGGTACGATCTCAGTTTCGGAACGGATTAATTTCGTATCCTGAGGTACCACTGTAGTTCATATCTAAATTGTTCAAATCCATAATTTTGAAATACGTAGTAGAAACTACGTATTTCAAAATTATGGATTTGACTAGTTCTCATGATGAAATGAAATTATCTGTGCACATTTTTGTAGACAATTATTCTTTTATATTTGTAGTAATGTTCCACTCTGGAATTTATTTGCAAGGAAGTATAAACAATAGCTTTAATTTTCTCAAAACACAAATAAATTACTTCCATAAAACTGTAGAAAAATTGATGTTCAAATTTTCATTGATCAGCATTTGCTCTCCTTGGCTTTGCTTTCTTCTTTCTAGCAAACAAATTCTTCAAATTCCAAAATAAAACACATTCCCTCTTGACAAATTTTTCCAATAGTTGTTTTGTTAAATTAAAAATTAAAATTCTGTAAGGAATGTTTTCTTTACATCAGGGCTGTGGAGTCGCGTAAAAATCTACCGACTCCGACTTTTCCTTACCAATCCGACTCCGACTCCGGCTAAAACACCAAAACTCCACGACTCCGACTCCNTTAATAGCGATATACTAATATACTAATTACATGGGATATAATAATATACTACACTAATAATGGATTTTTTCATACTTTTCGGTTATCCGACTTTTCAATTATCCGACCAACCCCAGTCCCCAATTAGGGCGGATAATCAAGGTTCTACTGTAAATCTTTTTTAATGTTTATTTATTGTATATGTATACTCTGATTGTATGCTTAGATTTTGAAACAATTTAAATGTTTTAACTGCTGTATTTTATGGTATGTAAGATGCACTCCTATTTCAGCATAAAATATTTAGGAAAAAGGTATTTAGTGTATTTTTGCTGCTGCATAATAAGATAACTGTGGCAAGGTTTGACATAAATAGCTAGGAACTGGTATAAGTGTTGATAAAAGATTACTGCTTAACTTTGAAGAGTTGGATGTGTGGTGAATAATCAATTGATAACAGCTTCACATTATCTAACTAATATTTACAATAATTTCGCTCTAAATAGTAATAATTAGTAATAAAAAAAGTAGGTTTAATTAAAACAATAACGTTTTTGTTAGAGAGTTGGCTAAGTAGAGATTACACTGTAGCCTACTGAAAATTGTTTGGGGAATTCGTTAACCTATAGGAAATCACAGCTTTATATATAAGATACAGAGTGCTTTTATACTGTATATATAAGTTGCATCTTATATGTTGTAAAATATGGTAATATCATTATTATTTTCCTAGAACCTTTTCTATTTTGATAAGGCTGTACCTATAATAATCTAAAATAAAAAGTTTGTAAATTAGTTACTTTTTATTATTTTATTACTGGAGAAGTTTTAGATTAAAGATCTAACTATTTCAGGTGTCAACTTTAATAGCAAACCAAGAGGATTTGCTAAAAAGTAAGTTAAAATTTATGATACTCAAACTTCAAAATATTAATTTTGAAATTTAACTCTGATATAATTATAATACCCTTAAATATCACACAGCAGAATTAGAATAAAATATAATACAGTGGTACCTCAGGTTACGAACGCCCCAGCATACGAAATTTTCAGGATACGACATGAAATTCGAACATATTTTTGCTCCACGATACGAACAAAAACTCACCATACGACGTTACATTAGTTCGCATTTTTCATTTGTTTTTCTTACTACAGTTATTTTTTTAAATGTATTACTTGGCTTTAATTTGAGTATGTTTTTCGCGTTGNTAAATGCTTCAATTCACTGTATCAAGTTGTAAAGATAAAAATTTTGAAGAAAAAACTTTCTTGACAACTCAACAATGATTACAGTTCAGTCTTGTAGGTAACTATCATCAATATCAATTACATCTTGCCGTCTTTGCTACGAAGTTTGTTCTTTGAGTATATAATGACCAGGGCTTTTTTTGAAGTCTTAATCACTGGCTAATGTCATTGAACTGTATATTGGCAATATAGTTCTGCAGGGTGCAAAATAGATAGTAGTCAATTTGCACTAAATCTATGCTGTAAAGTGGATGAGACAGAACCTCCCAGCCCAGAGTGGCCAGCTTCTCTAAGGTTATCTTTGCTCTGTGCTGGCATGTTGTTATTGTGGCATTCAACTTTGTCAGTTTTTGCAGTGTATGGGAATGCTCTAGTTGTTGTTTTAACTTCCTGTTTGTCAACTGTGGATTATCATCTATCAGTTTGAGGAGATCATCATCATCAATGGTGGAATTGCTGTCTGGATGGTATTCATCTTGAAGCAAAATATTTCCATCTTTGAATTTCTTGAACCAATTGTAGCAGGTTTGTCTGTTGACTGTGTCTTACCTACCCAAATGTCTTGCAGATGAGATCATGTGCTTTCATTGCATTGTGACTATTTTTGAAGTGATAGAACAACATGTGAATGTATTCTTTTGAAAATTTCATATTGTCAGATGATAAGTTTGATGTACATTCCACAGAATTGTCACATGTGTCAGGTCTATTTATGTAATTGTAAGCTTAAGAATGTGGGAGTGAAATTTTCCCACCTAAAGAGGGAGAAATTGTGCGCTTCCCTGTGGTGTATCGGGTCAGTGCTGACTAGTGTGTGTAGCTGTGTGGCTGGTAAGGAACCAATGTTGTGCTTATTAATTAATTGTCAGGTGCCAGTGTGTTGCTTGTTTGTGAGGAAATAAATTTCAAATATTTTTTTGTTGTGTTATAAAGAATTTGTGTACTGTGTTTAGAATGTGTAAACGGGAACATTTAAAACATTTTACATCATCAGACATTGCTGATGTGTCTTTTTAATGAAATGTCTGATAATGGTTACCTACCCATATTGGAAAAAATGTTCTGGAACATTTTTTCCAATCATTTCCAGAAAAAACTCGGTCTAAATTTCATTTTTATAACCTGATTTGTATATTATTTAGTTCCTAATCTACATTTGCAGTAATAAGGGGAAAATTATATGAAAAACATCAATACACACATCACAGTTTAATTTAAAAATATATATATTATATATATATATTTTTTTTTTTTCTGAAAATATTTGTGATTGCAGAATTTTGCTTTAGTTATTATAAACTGTGTTTGTAGTATCAGAAAAATATCTTATGCAGTAATAGATTACTGTTTGTAAATTAATATTGAAATGATATTTGATTTCTGAAGTTTATTTTGAATGTAGTGCAATGAATTCACTTAGTTTAAATATAACCCAAGAAACTTATTGAAATATCAATAGATAAAAATGAATGAATGATAAATACAGGTGGTCAGGTTATATGATTTGTCTTTTACTATGACATGAAACATTTACATAATAATGCAAATCATTTTTAAGTCAGAAAATACATAAAAATGTAAATATTTATGATGATTTAAAACTTTTTCACAAAATTCATTTCTTTTTATAATCTTTAAATTTTAAATAAAAAGAATAAAATTTTGTATACAAATTATAATTTCTAGAATCGAAGTGAAATCCCGAATGTTCGACGCCTGTATTGTAATTGACGGAGGACTCTCCTATATATTTAATGACGGTGCTGTTGCAACATTGGAAATCTTTGAAGAAGATGCACTAAGGACAGTCACTCTACTAGACTGAAAGAATATGAAAAGTACAGATTTTTTGAAATGTATATTTGTGCCAATCATATTTTATAAGCAGTGATTTGTAAGGAAAGAATTATCTATTTTGCACTGTTTGTAAAATAAAATTGATTTGAAAAAATGAATTCATGATAATACTTAATTTTAATAAGTTTTTCGGTAGCTCAAGATGCTTTAAATTGCATTTTATATGTAAATTTCATATATTTTTAGCATATTCTTATTTTGCAGTAACTCAAAATTTTCATTTTTGAATTGTATTATTTTTCTTGTAAAGTAAATATCCAAACAAAAACATCTGAATGTAAAAAAAAAATTACGCCAAGTAAAAATTTATGACAATTTAGACGGTGATCAAAATTTTTCTTGAGAGTTTTTCTTTTAAAGCCAAGCTTGGCGCTTGGAAGAAAGAATAATATAGGAAAAAATCGTGTACCCACAAGATTTTTTCCTATATTATTCTTTTCTACATTTTGCTTCCAAGCACCCAACTTGGCTTTACCAAAGAAAAACTCTCAAGAAAAATTTTGATCACCATCTAAATTGTCATAAATTTTTACCTGGCGTAATTTTTTTTACACTTCGGATGTTTTTATTTGTCTATCAATCGTCTTTGTTTAATAATTGTATTATTACGTTAAGATATAAGACGATGACGTGTACAATTCGACCGGGTCGATATACCATTTAGAAAACGCGTTAGAAAAAGTTTTAATTCGCGTAAATTTGAGCTTTTGCAATTCTGACTAACATTTTGAATAAAATTCATTTGTTTCCATGCAATTTTATCTCTATAAGCATAAAATTAAGCCGTAAAACTGATGGGGAAATCCCCGTGAACTTTGACATATCGAAACGGAAATTTGGCCAGCACTCACTGATAACGAGAAAGCTCAAATTTTAAACTTAAGCCTATCTAGACTCAGTAGTTTTTTCTCTATGAGTGTCTGCAGTGCCGGATGAAGAAAAAGGAAAAGAAAATACAGCTTTTTTGGCGATTTTTGTACTTTTCAATTGCTTATATTTCAGCAGCCGCTTTGTAGAAAATCTGGAAATTTTTCACTAAGAAAACAATTTTCTTTCGAACGAGATACAGTATTCGGAATTACTTCAGGTGTTTGGGGCGGAGAAATCGAACCCCGAAAATCGGCAACTTGATTCCTGTATATATAGTCATTCAGTGACTTTTTAACGTGGCTGGGAGTCACTGCCGTGACTCCTGATCAAATTCCTCTTTGATATTTTTAGACATACACTTTTATTGTCTCTGGCAACAATATTTTACGTCTGCATTTTATCATTAGAGAGACGAATTCTGCTGATAAAAGTATTGATAAATTCTAAATCTGCATGCATTTATTTCAAAAATTTGTGATTAATCATACCTCAAACACTAACATGAAATCTTTTTAACACAAATCTGATGCCAGCTATCTCAACATATATTAATGTTAAATATTAATATATTAATATTATACTGTAAATATTAATGTTAAAATTTGTGAATACTGTTATTAATTTGACGTAAAGCTTTCTAATTATGCTTTAAGTATCCAAATATAAACTATATAATCCGTTACGATTAAAAAAATCTTTAAGCAAATTTTTGTTAATGTGTATCTAAAAGTTTTTATATATTGATCTTGAGATTCAAAATTTTTCTAAATTGTACATAAATTAAATAAATTATGAAACAACAAAATCCAGCAACGTGTTGCATAACTTTCCCGAAAAAAGAATCTAAATTGTATGTGGGCGCCATCTGTTATATTTTATTTAAAACTAATGATTATAAAATGGCAAAACACTTAATTTTGAAAACAGAGATGAGTAATTACCCGTATAAAAAATTGCAAATGCTAATAACGAGTAAAATCTTCATTAAGTTCGTCTTCATTCGAGATACGACACGTGTATCCCCTCTATCTCCCCATCCTCTTCACCTTTAACCACCAAAATTTAATAGCATCAATCCCCGTAATACACAAACCTCCCTGCAAAATTTCAGAAATTTTCTACGAAAGACAGGCGTTAAGTCTCAAAGTGAGTGAATAAAAAAACGTGCCACCCACAAACAAACATCCATATTACAGAAAACCTTCAAATTTTTTGCGTTTTTTGTTTGTTTCAAGATCTCGAGTCCAAAAATGTAAAAATATTGGAAAGGAGGTTATTTCTTGACTGATTGCTATACTTTACAGCTTAATAATTGTAATAACAGTCAATTTTAAAATTGCAGACCTATAAATTCCCACTATCAGTTGTCTGTCCTTCCTTAATACCGAGAACGGTGTTAGATGAAAGTCACGACCAGATATGGAAAGTTAGGGGCAGGAGTCCCCGATTAACTATATACGAATTGAATTCGGTCACGTGAATTCAATTCGAAAATTTTTCCCTGAATGGAGTTATATAAATGACCGTCATGACTGTTATCAGGAAAAGTATGATGTACAGGGGCAAAACATTACTAATTTGAAATGGATATATTTAAACGATTAATTAAAACAAATTAATAAATGATCGTTGTTTTTTTTTTTTACTTTTTGTAAAATTAAAAGTACGAAACTTCTAATTTCTGCCTCTGCAAAAAGGAATTTAATTAAGTTTACAAAAATATGAGTGATTTAATTCGGCGTTAAATCTTTTTTTCTTTCTTTTTACTTTCGAAATGCAGTTAAAGTAACCTTGTGATTTATAATCATTGTTAAAAATATAATTCTTAATTATATATAATTATTTGATTTGTGAATATCTTTAAAGGAAGTTAGCAGGATATGAAACTCTTTGCAAACTAAACTTGATAGTAAACATTTCTCAATAAAGGTTTTAATTACTTTAAATACATTAAGAGGTATTAAATTATAAGATTCACAATGAATTCGTTAATTACAATCTTGTTATTTAAGAATGGAAATTTAAAAAAAGTATATTTTTTAATTTTGTAAAAGAGATCGATGCTTTTGTACTATGCGTCAATTGCTATTCTATTATTAATTTAATTGTTAGAATTACGAAGATTACAGAAATTGCTTATGAAACTTGAAGTACTCTAAAACGTTCTTCTATAACAAAAATTTCATTTTCCTTATTGTTTTCATTGTTTAATGTGAATGTCAAATTTGGCCGAAGTAAACAAATTTGATTGTAGACGAAACGATTATTTTTCGATTGTTAGAAAATAAATTACATTAATGAAGATAAAAGAAAACAATCTGGAAAATTCTTGGAAATAGGATTTAAGTTATAATAATAGAAAAAACAGGTAGCAATAAATCACGAACTCGTAAGAACAACGTGAACAACAGAATAAAGATTAATATCTAATGGGATTATTATTACAGCCGTTCCTCGCTTAATCACCAACCTGTTTAACGACCGCTCGGACTTATGACCAGTTCTTCAGCGAGGGAAATCCCTTCTTTAACTTGTCTACTTCTCGTAGTCGGTCAGTATTCACTGTATGAAGCGTTCACAATCTCCAAGACTACATATTTCGGTTATAAATAACCACTTTATTGCGCATTCCATCTGAAGGATTCGATGACTAAAGCATTAATCTGTTTTTTTTATGAACGATCTTTAATTTTTTGGTCCATCATTTTTATAATTTTTGCTGATTGTATTTTTATATTCTGTAATATATGAGATGCAAATTAACACAAAGTGATCGAGTCGGGGTTTCCTTTAGACCTTTCCTTTATCTGGAATAAAAACGATTAAGCTCCTCTAACGAACCGATTCGCTTAATGAACTAGTTCTAAGAACTAAACTCGGTCGTTAAGTGAGGAGTTGCTGTACAGTGTACACGGAAAGCGTGGCAATAACTTCGCTTCGCTTCTAAATTTGATTAAAACGATAGTCATTTACAGAGGCTACCTGATGTAGGAAAAATAATCAAAATAAATATCCAGCAACGAGTTGCGTAACTTTTCCGGTTGCTAAACGATTTTATTTAAAAAATGATTTTCATATTAATTATCATAATAAATAAAATTGTGTGTGGTGCCATCTGTTATGCGATTTTATTATAAAAAATCTTTTTATGTTGTTACTTATTACAAAACGACAAAAAGCCTAATTTTGAGGGTAGCCACGGAATTTTTTTCTGTTTTTTTATTTATTTATTTAATTTTATTTTTGGGTTCGGGGTCTCAAAACATGGAGACTAGCAAAAAATCCGGAGGGACAAATTAGACACGATTCCAATACTTTCCCTTGTTATGTATACATAAAAGCTGGGAGAGTAAAGATTAAATTTCGTTAAGAATATTGTAAATACAATAGAACTCTAATTATCTGAACCGGACCATCTTCTCTCCAGAAAAGAAAGTTCCTAACCTATACTCCAGGTTATGGAAAGGTACATGGGCGCTCTTATGTACCACACCCATAAACAAAGATGCCAAAGGATAGCTAAACAAAGAAATCTCTTCCTTAGAACTTTACATATAAAGAGTTCTAAGGAATCAGAGGTGCACAGCACAAGGAATGAGAGGAAGATAAAGGACAGACCATGCTGGCTAGAAAGACCTTTTATGACTTATTTGTTTTGACTTGACTTTTATTTGTGACTCCTTCAAAGAAAGAGTAATGGAAAACCAAGAAAACCAATATTGAATTTCAGAAGGCAATGATTGATTCTTTTTAGAATTTGCAATTAAGTTTCTTTGGCTTCTCAATTAATGATCGATTTAATTCGTCAAAATAATAATAATAACATAGAGATCCATTTCTTGCAAATTTTATAGAAAAACAATAGCGAACAATTTCTTTCAAATAGTACTCACGATGTGTAATTTTATAAAAACTATCGATGTACTTCCAAAACAAAAAGAATAAAAATGTTTTATCATAGATAAGTGAACAGATAGTAAACGAATAATTTGGTATACTCACGAAACAATTAGTATTCTTGACCATCAACCTACTATCCTTGAAAGTGGCGGCATATTGCTTACTACTTTTTTTTGTAGTCAAGTACTGATACGATATCCATTTTCGTGATTAATTATCTGATGACAATATTAATTATATTGAGAAGATCCGTGTAATTTCCCCATTCTATCGACAGGATTCTATGAGATGCATTGTATTAATAGCCTTACTAATATTAATCTATTTCGAATCCACCAACATCTTTTCTAAGCTATTCTAAAGATACAGTAGCTTAGTAATGACCTCTGTTATTGTCACAAAGTTAAAATAAATTGTTCTGTAAATGTAATACCGTACTACTATGAATTTAAGGCATGCTTTCCTTTCTCACTTTTTCGAAATTGAAGTTAGGGTACATCTTAAATTTGATCTTTATCGTTCTTAAAAGTCCATATTTAATTTTAAAAATGTATAGCATTTTCTGTTAATATTTTAAAAATAAAATATAATTATTAAAGAATTAAAATGTTAAATTCTTTTAAGCTATATTTACTTACTAATTATAATCCAAGTTCATTTCGATATAAACAAAGTATTAATTATTGAATACATAGATTTATTTTCGAGATAATTTTATATGGATTAAAATATATTTAAAACTTTATTTTTTAGTGAAATTTTTTATAGTAAAAATTTGTTTTTTTTTTTTAATGAAAGTTTATTATATATATATATAAAAAAAGAAAGGTAAGGTAAAGACATGTCTAAATGTAGAAAAAAGTAATGACAAAATATCGTTAACATTTGATGTCTATACAGTTTCATTACGAGCGTATAATTTACTATGATTTGGGATTGTTCGACCTTGTGAAGAACTATTTAGCAACTATTACGCCATAAAATTTTACTACAGTTCTATCTCAGCGATTTACATCACGAACTATAAAAAAAATTAAAGAAATAGATAAAATCTGAAGAGAAAATTAATAGAATATTATCTTAATTTATCTTGATTTGGTAAGAGGATGATTAGTTTTAATTATGCTTTAAATATTTTCTGAAACTAATTAAGAACACGATATGAATTTTCAATTCAAATCTCGTTTTTCATCATTCAAGAAGTTAATGATTCGGATGATAAATGTTTTTAAAACGCATTATCTTCCGACATTTTAATTTATAAACTTCATTAATATTCTTGAGAGATGGAGAAAAAAAGAAAAGCATTATTCATAAAATTCTCTGGAGCTATACTAACGAGGAATAGGCGACGTTCTCCTTGACCCAAACTTGATAAACAATAGCGGTAACGGAAATAAAATATAAACTGGTAGTGTCTAGGAAAGAATTTAAAACCGTGGAATGTAGATCAAGGTGACATTTTTCTTTCAAATCATATCGTTTAAATAATTATGCTTATAAACTTACTTTAAAACGTGTTAATTATAGAGTAAATAAATTATAAACAGACTCGACTATTGAATCAGTTCGTGTTAGATTTTCCTTACCGCTTGGAAAATATTTAATTGAATTTTATAAACAGTAATTATAATTATTTTAAATTTTATATGTTAATTCCTGTTTCGCAATATTCTTAATTATTCTATTATTAAATGGATAATATAAATGCTTCCGTAGATTTAATGATAAAAGTTAATTTACTATGGATTGTATTTTGTTTAGATTAGAAAGAAAAAATAAGATTTTGGTAATTATAAAATATTCGTAATAAATGTAAGTAAAAAAAAAGGCAATATTTACAACTGAAGTGTTGAAGTGAGGTCTACTCATTTCTCACAAGAAATGGTCAACAAGATTATTTAAGAAACACATTTACTTATCTAGTTTCGACTTACAAATTTAACTTTAAGATTTACAATATTTTATTCACAGATTGTTAATCTGTTTGTGTATTAAAAAAGATATTTTATCTGTTTTTTAATGCACGAATGGTTTAACAATATCAAATATAGATTTTCTTCATACATAGGGATTTGAAGGTGTTCTGACGATTGACAAAAATTTCGACTGTTACAAGACATTGATACAAATTGATAAATCTATGCTAATTGGTGAACACTTCTGTTGTTCTATGTACAAAATTCTTCTTTAATTACAAGCAACTTAAGAAATATATATTTCATATTATGCTTAGTTTTTATTTTATAATTAAGTATAGTATTTATAAATAAATTTTTAAATTGAAAAAAAAAACAGGTGGAAGGTAAATCGTTTAAAGCTTTAAAAAATAAAATAAATATTTCTTTAGATGCTTATAAGTGGAAGCAAAAATTGTTGCGACGATAAATTTATCTTACAATAATGACTGAGATATTTTTTTAGTATCTTCCATACCTAGGAGGAGATGGGCCTTGTTGGCCACCGTACGAGGGAGCACCCCTATAGCCTCCTGGACCGCCTGGGCCCCCTGGGCCTCCTGGTGCATGGCCTGGTGGTGGACCTCCTTGATAGCCCGCTTGCTGTTGTTGTTGGGGTTGGGGTTGAGGTTTAGGAAGCAATTTGGAGAAGTCGATATTTGGAAGTTCGGGCAATTTAGGATACTGAGATGCTCCTCCTGCTGGTTTCTGAGGAGGACTTTGGAAACCATTATTGGGAGAACTAGAAGGTCCGGATGAAGAACCGTAAGAGGGTGGGGCACCGAAACCTGAAGGCGATGGTGCTCTAGCTGATGGAGAGGAATAGCCTCCAGAAGGTGGATTATAATGGCCGCCTTGTCTTCCGAAAGATGGAGAAGAAGGTCCACCACCATAAGAACTAGGAGGCGCTCCTCCCTGAGGACCGCCGTAGGAACTTTGGCCTCCCGCTGGTGGTGCACCGTAGGAACTTTGGCCCCCAGCTGGTGGTGCACCGTAAGGTGAACCTTGAGGTGCTTGATTGGGGGCACCACCGTATCCTCCAGCTGCTTGTTGCTGCTGCCCTTGTTGTGGAGGAGTGAGTGGATCTCCCAATATGAATCCATCTGGATAATATCGTTGATGATATCTTACTGTGTTATTTGGTCCTTTCTGATCTAAAGGCTGCAACACAAATTTTATGAATTTTTAATTAAATAATTTAATTATTAAATTCTTAAGAATTACATTTATATCTTAACTTCTACTTTAAATAATTAGCGAAACCAATATATATATATAAAATTAAAGCATTTTATACTATTATTCAGATCAGGTATTTAGATCGTGACTTAATTAACTATTTAAAATCTAAAATTTCAAGTCAAAAATCAAGATTTAGGGTCTAAGTGTGTTGAAAATCCTGTTTGAGAAGAAAAAGTGTTTGGAAGATAAGAGCCGCACCCGCGACAGATAGATAATCTAAAAGACATTGTTCAAAGTAAATTAAAAATTCGTGAGACAGTTTTATATGCTTCCGGGTTAAAGAACTCATTTAAATTTTGATCGTGCTGAGTTTAATGTGTGATAAAATAAAATTTTAAAATAGTTTATCATCAAAAATCAAATAAATTTTTCAAAACAATCCTTTCAACCCTGCGGGGCATTAAAAAGGGTTTGTTTTGCCATAAATTTTGCCAGGTTCACACTAGAATGACCACGTGATAAAAGACGGAGCTTGACATAACCATGCCAACCAATCCGTAAAAATTTCCAAGTCCATCTGGACTCGAACCCGTATCCTTCAGAGTTGCTCTAGAGAGCTCTAAAGGAATTTTTGCTTTAATTTATGAGAATAAACGATCAGATTTTCCGTTTTTTTCATAAAAATTTAAATAATGCTATTTTCCAAAAGCATTAGAAAATGTTTTCTTTTTATAATTGACAGTTTCTAATCATAATTTATACCAAAAAAAAAAAAATTTAACGTATTTAATATTAGAAAGATTGTTCATTTACCTTGTTTAAATAATCATTGACGAAGTAGAACTTTTCTGCATTACTGCACGCGTTGTTATCGTCACTTTTCTGAATACAGTTCAAATGAACTTGATGAAAAACTGTTCCCGAAGGGCACATCCAAGAATGTTTGGCACCACCGACACAATAATGGAAAGCTTGGCAACTGACACTGTTATCGGCATAGTAACCATCCTTTTTACTGGAGCAACTGAATTTAGAACCGGAGAGTAATTCGGCCAAAGGATCCGGAGTTGGTTCTTCTTGAGGTTGTTGTTGGCCATATCCGCCTTGTTGTTGGCCATAACCCCCTTGTTGCTGACCGTAACCCCCTTGCTGCTGGCCGTAACCGCCACCCTGTCCACCTCCTGGAGCTGCTCCATACTGCAAAATTTTAAGAAAATATTTATATAAAATTATCATTCGATTTATGAGACAATTATTATTTGGAAGAAAATGTATACAAATTTTTAAACTAGACATATTCTGTCCTATTTTAAATGCCTTCTGTCTTATCAAATTTATATTCTTAAAGAAAAAAATTATAAACTTACAGATGGTCCTCCTCCATATTGTGATCTTCCTGGTCCACCTCCCTGTCTAGGTGGAGCGCCTCCGTATTGTCCTTGATATGAAGGTGCACCTCCTCCTCCTCCCCCTCCTCCTCCATATCCACCGGGTGGTTTTCCATATGCTTGTCTTTTACTCTTTAAAAAATAATAGAAAAATTAATTTATCTTAACTTCAAAAGATAATGGGATCCTACATTTTATTGATTACAGGTTTCAATAATGCTTACCCTTTCAGCTGCAACGACAGCACCTGGGAGGAAAAAAATACACATTTACATAAATTTTACTTTAAAAATTAATATTACTTATTTTGATATATGCTGCTGTGGTAGTTGGTAAAATTTAACGAAAATTATTCAAAATAAATACAAAATTATAAACTAATTTACTTACAAAGTAACAACAGGGCAGCTAAAACTTTCATCTTCCCTTGGAATCTAAAGCGTAAAAAACTTATATTAATGGAATATTAGAACAAATTAGCTTTTACACGATTCCAGAAATGATACACTATAGAATTTCTTCTAATGCTTAAAGTATAGTCTATAGAGAAGAGGATGTGACTTACTTCATCTTTAAATTCCAATAAAATGAAGTTTCTCCTCCTCAAGCTTTTATAAGAGTCAAGAAATTTAAATAAAATAATAAAGAAATCGCAGAATTCTGAATGGTCAGAATAATTTTTTTGTACGACCTTAAGTTGCTATTGGGGGAAACAACAATGCTTTTCGACTCCAATTAACCTACTTCAAACAGGATAAGCAACCAGAACACGGTAAAGATCAACTTTTACTGCTTTGACGTTGACGTTGGGCATTGCTTTGACGTCAGATTTATACGTTGAAATACAAAATTTTTTATATTATTATCGAAATTTTTAGCATAAAAGGACGTTCGATTAATCCTTCATCGTTTTCACGGTTATTCTGACCTTTTATATCTGTTTAAAACGGACAATAGTTCTAATTTTAGAAAATGGTAACACTGAAAATTAATTTCTTTTTAAATTATATTCTTGACTTAATTATATTTTTAATTAAATATAACATTAAAATAAGCAGAAAATTATTTATTTCTTTATTATTTAAGTAAAATGTTTAGTAAAAATATATTAATTTCCATTTGTATATTTGTATTTAAAATTTTGTGAAGTTTCGTCATAATTTAATAAAAATAATATAAATATAAAGCAAATATAACAAACTTCCATATAATTTTTTATATTTATATTCGTTTATAACCATAAATTGTCACAATTTAATATAAAGAAGCATCAATACTCTGATTATCAAATCATATATCTAATAAGAAAAACGAATTTTTTACCTTCTCTAAACAAAATTTCGTCATTTAATTATTACTAAATATCGATAATATTTTATAAATAAAATATATAAAAATTTTCATAATAAAATTCATGTATTTGTAGGCTCCAACATTTAATTTTCGAATGCTACATTTTCTTGTTTAACGGGTTTTACTTGTATCTCATTTTGTATTTTTCTAGAGTTTAAAACGATTTCATTTTTGTTGTGTCTGTTGTTACGTGATAAATAATATAAATTCTAATTTAAAATATTTCGTGATGTCGGTATTAATTTCTATATATTTAACACTCGTAAAAGTTATTAAACAACATTAAATAAGAGAATTCAGTCACGCAAATGGACTGAATTCGTAAGAAGAATTACGTTTTCTTATCTGTTTAATTATTAAATTTAAATTCTAGAATAAGATATGAATATATTTTTACACTTTAATTAAAATTATAACAGAATTTAACATAAAAATATTATTTTAAATAAATATTTATCATCAATATATTCAATAATTGGGATGGATGATGACATAGGAAATTGAGGAAAGTGATCTTTTATCTCTTAACCTCATCAAAGTATATATAAAAATTCATGTTAAAACTTACTCTCCTATTTTCATATTTTCTTCAAACAATGAAATTTATAATGGCGTGGGCCTATAATGGATCAGACTGTAATTTTAGAAGATTACTAATCTTCGAACTTTGCCGGTTTCAAAATGGGATCAGATCTGATAAAAAGGAAAGTTTTATACGTGATTTTAAGGGTAAAATGACAAATCAAAAGACATTTACGTCTTCTTCCTGTATAAAATTTTTAGGGATCGTTATAGCTCTGAAAATATTGATACAAAATTTAATTTTTAATTATTATTTACTCAAGATGTGTTAATTGACAGTTTCTAATCATAATTTATACCAAAAAAAAAAAAATTTAACGTATTTAATATTAGAAAGATTGTTCATTTACCTTGTTTAAATAATCATTGACGAAGTAGAACTTTTCTGCATTACTGCACGCGTTGTTATCGTCACTTTTCTGAATANAAAAAAAAAAAAACTTTAATTCATATCACTTTTGTATTGTGTTTCTCTCATAGAAGACGTAGACTAATTTGGAATACCCTTCTGTATAAGGGACCTGAACCCAGTAGACAGATCCTAGGTAAGAGAGATGAGTCCAAGTTAAAATTTAATATGAATCATAACGTATTTTAATAAATTTTTGCTTTTAATACTTACGTAATGGATATATATATTAATTTGTTTTTATTACCAGGGGTCCTAGGCCCTGTTACGCCAGTATATCTGAATCAAATGGCTGGTAGTCTTTATCATCTGAGTCAGTCTACATTCTTTTTTCTTCGTTTATATTATTATTATTTTCGTTTGTTAAACTTTTATAATCCATGTAAATTAATTTTCTGTTAATTTTATACCATTTTAAAATGCCATAATTTGAATTAGTTAACAAAGTCAATGTATACATGAAATGCCATTGATCATATATTCATGCTTTTTAAATTAATAAATAAAAATTTCGTTTGATAATATAGAAAATAGGTCCTTTCCTTTGTTTTTAATTACATCGTTTTTATACAAGAAATTATTTAAATTGACTATTATTATTTGGCAAACTTATTGTTGTATATCATATAAATTAAATTCTTTAATTATTAATTAATATATTTATTCTAAAACAATTTAAAGAAATAAATAATTTATTTTTAAGATTTTATTATTATTTTCAACTGGCATTGAATACTTTTGAGATATCGCCGATAAGATATACGAGGTATAAAGTAAAATAAACCTACTAATTTTTAATTTATCCATTTAAAATGCATTAAAATTTGTTGGTGCCTATATAAATAATATTATCACACGATAACATTATTTACAGGTAATGATATTCAATAAATTGTTTGAAAATTNTAATTATTTTTATGTAAACAATAATAGAATTTAGGAATTTAATTATAAAGTTTATCCGTCAATGAACTAATATAATTTCAAATTTTTCTGATGAGGTAGATGATCGAAGCAATAACTTCATCAAGCTATTATTCTAGAGGAGCCAAATTCCAGTTTGGGTCTATTCATAAAGTTTTAAGAATGTATTAAATTCCGTCTTATTACTTCAACATCATTATGAGTTCAACCGGATCTACAATGGATCCAGATGAACTCGCGATGGACATAAAAAAAATACCCCTTTAATATCTGCAGAACGAATTAAAATAAGCAATATTTCTTTAATTTTTGAATAAATAATTAATTGTATAATTGACAGAGAATTGAAACAATATTAGAGATTCCTTTCTGCAAAATGTCATACATACATAGGACTGAAGTTCGAATCTTAAGATATAAAAATTATAGTTTCTAAACGAAATTGTCAGTACTTGTTTTATTATTGAATGACTTTATTTATTGTTTATAGACGAGTCAACGAAATTTGGAATAAAGAAAGGGTTGAGAATTTCGCTATATTCTGTAAGAACAATATATATATATTATTCTTAAAGAATATAGGCATTCTTATAGAATATATAGCCTATATATTACATATAATTAATGCTCGAGTGTGGGATAAAAAAGGAGTGTGATGGTTTTCCCTCTCACCTAACTAGAGCACGTACGCCTACACTCACACTTAAGTGCATACATAACGCTTAAATATGTAATATATTTCAGTTAGCCGTTAACAAATTTATATTCGTAAACATCTTTAACCAGATAATATCATTATCGTAGGTATTTTTTGATCTATTGCTGAGGATGGAAGACAAGATTGATAATTTGCATGCGATATTCAAATATATAATTACAGAATAAAAATTAGTTTATCTTTTATTCGATTTCTTATGGAAAATTCCCTTAAGAATCCCTTAAAATTCCATATTTATTTAATTGTACGAAAATGTTTTTAAAATTTATATATACAATTCCAAAAACTAACTTCCGGGATATTATTGCTACTAAAAAGTAATGGGAGTTTCAAGGCATTTTAAAAAGAATCGGGATAATATCCGACCCCACCTCAACATCTGCATATAATTGTTTATTAAATTCTTAATTAAACAAAACATTTTGAAATTTATAATTTAAATAAAACATTGTTTTATATAACACGACATTTTAACAATTAGATATATATTCGTTATACTTATAATATATTTTTAAACATTCTGTAAATATAAAAAAAACGTATTTAAATTTATTAAAAACAATTAAAATATCATGTTTATCATGTTCTATTTGTTTTCTACAGTCGATTACATTTTTATATTTATGTATTGATAAAGATCTAATATGGTGTTAAACGGCTATTTTTTTTTTCTTTCTTTTTTCGTAATTACTGTAAATTTGTCCTAATTAATTTCTTCTTTTCTGTAGAATTTCTTTTTAATTTTTGTTTCTAAGAGAAAATGGTTGAGGATGCTTGTATATATACAAACAAATAGCAGTGTGAATGTTAGAGAAGATGGTAGAGAGCTTCGTGCTTTGGAACGAAACTTAAAATAAAGAAGCTGAAGAAGAGAAATATTCTCCAATAGAAAACAGAAAATTATGGTATATTAAGTATCTTTATATTTATCTAGAGACTATTTTTAAGATTATAAAATTTAGAATATGAAAGCCACAAAGGTTTTGAGATATCACGTGTTAAGAGACATCAGGATAAAACGTAAGAATGTACTCGATTCAAGATTTAGGATTGAGAGCAGTACAAGATTCTTGTACTTCTTGTAATACAAGAATTTTGAATTTTACCCTGATTTTAATTCCGATTTAACCTAATTTTGATTTGACACTGAGTTTACTTTAAGTCAATTTTGATCTTGAATTTTAATCGATAAAATTCAAGGCTATTTTATTCAATTTTATGTTTTCGAATTTTGTAGAGATTTATTTCGATGTTCAAATATTTTATTAGAAATAAATGCAAAATAAATTTTTTAATTATAATAATTTATATTTTTGTTTATAAGAATTTGTTTTAAATTAATATGGAAATATTTGATTTTTTAAAAGTAAATATTTTTTTAATAGAAAAATATTAAAATTTTATTTTTTTTAGTCCATGAATTAAATTAATGATG